TTGATATTTTTAAAGTATAAAGGTCTTTTGGGACTTCCCTGGTGGTCCAGTGGTTAAGACTCTGTGCTTCCAATGCAGGAGGTGCAGGTTCTATCCCTGGTTGGGGAACTAAGATCCCACACACTGCGTGGCGTGGCCAAAAAGAAAAAAAAAAAGAATAAAGGTCTTTTGAAAATCACTTATAAAAGGAATGTGTGTGTGTGTGTGTGTGTGTGTGTGTGTGTGTGTGTGTAGCTTGATGAAAACCAAAAAAAAAAATAGGCTGCACGTTGGGGAAGGAAGTTTTTAAAATATGATTTTAGGGCTCTGTCTTATAACAAAATGAATACACAATTGGTATCTGTAGATAACATTTTTTCTAGTGATTTCTAGGAAATTGTTTTCTTTAAACTTTGGGATTTATTGTTAATGTTATCATTGTAGGTAGATGCTAGTGAGGAGGAGTTTTTGTACTTCTTCTTACGGCTGCTATTTACTTCAGTAGGACGAGGAGCAGTCGTGTTGGGAGCTCCTTAGAAAACTCTGCCCTTCGTCATTTGCCCATCTCTCCTAAGAAAGACCTCCGTGGTTCAGACATTTTAAAACAGGGGAAAATCTAACCAGCAGAAGACTGAGAGAGCAATGCAGATATGTCTGGTTATTACACGGTGGTGTTACTTTGAATGCAAGATCCATGGGGGCAGGGATTTTTGACTGTTTTGCTTATCATCATATCCCCAGCACCTAGCACAGTATCTGACATGTAGTAGATGATCAATAAATAGTTGTTGCATATTTGTGACCACCTAGAGGTGTGGGATAGGGAGGGTGGGAGGGAGAAGCAAGAGGGAGGAGATATGGGGATGTATGTATATGTATAGCTGATTCATTTTGTTATACAGCAGAAACTAACACACCATTGTAAAGCAGTTATACTCCAATAAAGATGCTAAAAAAAAAGTTGTTGCATAAAAAAGTAGAGTCTTCAGGGGAGCCCCTGAGCGTGAAAAAAAGTTCTTTTTATGTGTTGAAGAAATACTGAGAAAAACTGCTAATGATATTCCCAAAGCAAGATCAGTCATATTTAAGACATGCTGTTAAGAGTGTCATAAAACTGAAGATAGGCAATTATTATACCAGATTTTTTAAAGGGGAAAGGGAGAATGCTATAAATTATATACAGCAAGCTGTATGCCAATCCTGGGAAAAATATAGGGAACTTTTTGTTTGTGAGCACTTATAAAAGCTTGCATTTGCTTTTATAAAAGGTAAATATAAACAAATCTCTAGTGGTGAGACATTAGCTATCTTCATTTACCCCCCAGAGTTCATGAAGTTGCATTAGCACTAATTACAACTATTATTAAGTAGATTCACAAATTTAGTAGAATAACTGAACTGTGGAAAGAGGGGTGGGAACTTCTTGTAAGCAAAGAAAGCAATTTCCTCTCCTGCTGGTATGATATACAAATGGGAAGAGTGGGTGAAAACATAAGAACAATAGCAAATTGCACTATTTGTGTGCTTTTTCTTCAACTTTGAAGAATTCATCACTCTGTAGGCAAGAAGCATTAACAAAATCAGGTCATTGTGTTTATACTTTACACTGAACACTGTTTATATTGATAGAATTAGACTCTCAAAAAATTACCGACAACATCAGTTGCCATTTCAGCTTTTATTACATAATCTGCATGGTTGTAACATAGCTTGACCTGCTATTAGAAACACTCCACAAGGACAATTATTAAAAAAATGTGACTGTAAATTATAGGCTAGACAGTCTGGGTCCATCAGGAGAGATAAACCACACAATAACTTGGGCCAGAAAAGCTTGATATAAAAGTTTATTAACCATAATAGGATTGGAGTAATGAGGGATTGGTAAGAAAGGAAGAAGTAAACAACATAGGAATAGCAGATATAAAGAGCAGCCACCACCCCTGGGGATGAGTGTTCAAGGAAGAAGACTCCCAGGGTTGAAATCTGGATCTTGTTGCAGAGTGAAGCTATGGCTCACTGAATGGCAGAGATACGGAAGAACTTGCTGGAAATCCACCCTCTAGGATGCCAGGCAAAACAAAACTGTTGACAAAACTGATGCACTGAGCCTGCGCGTCCGGAGCCTGTGCTCCGCAACGGGAGAGGCCACAACAGTGAGAGGCCCGTGTAACGCAAAAAAAAAGAAAAGAATTTTATATATATATATATATATATATAATTTGGGAGATAATTAGGGCTATGCAGTAAATAAAACAGGAAAGGTAGATATAAGTGTTAGGGATGGGAGCAATTTGAAATAAAGTGGTCAGGGAAGGCTTTACTGAGATAGTAAATCTCAGTTTAGTCTGAGAGTAATTCAGTATCTCTTGACAAACTACTAGAATATTCTATTGAATTTTCACTGCCAATTTATCCACAGTAATTCCAATGAAAAGATCTGACTTTAGCTTTTCACTTCTTGAGGTAGCTGGAGGATCAAATTTCCACAGACCTTAAACTAATTTACATTCCGAAATGTATAATTTTGTGTTTTGCCAACAGATTTGTTTAATCCAGGATTTGACAGCAAATAATTGTTAAGTCTTTTAAAACAAATAACCTCAAAGAATTAAAGATATTAATGGGAGAAATAGTAAATTTATTATTTTTATTAAAGTATATCAATACCTAGAAACAATAAGGGGCACATTATAAATACGGATACAAAACGGTAAGTCAAAGTTTCACTTGAAGTAGAAAAGCTTAACTATAAGCTTTTTTTAAAGTATATCAAAGGAAACGAACCATAAATGTGTTAATCATAAAATATCATTGTATGTATCACAAGAATATAAAACTTTAAAATCTTCTGCTTTAAATTCTTAAATAACTACAGGGTGACTAAATATGTTCAGGATGATTTGGGGAGAAAAAGCAACTAGTTAAAATCACCTGGCAAAATCAATTAATTCACTGTGCTACATTTCTGTTTGTTTGTTTTTTTAATGTATTGTGGTTTTGCTTATAAAGGTGTTAATTCATTGAGTTAATTCACTGGGTAAGGTTTTAAGACAATACTCTGATTTATACTTGTTACATACCAGAATCTTTGGAGAAATTACCTTTGAAGGGGACTTTCTAAAATAGGAAAATCTATTTTAATATAGAGGCCAAAAATCCTTGAAATACTTTTTCCACTCCCTCGAAACAGATGAATATTTGAGATCTGTTTATAATATGTGAGACAGAGAATCATAATGATAAAGTTCCTTTTTAATAAATAACTAGGTATGATACAGTGACATATCCATGAGAAGCCCAATAAACATGTTCCATGTATGACCCATCATTGCCTTACATAGTACCCCTAATTTAAAAGACAATTACCTTTACTGATTTATTTTACATACAGCAAACTATTATCAGTTAAGAGAAAACAAAATTGATGCTCAAAGCACTTCTGTAGATGATACAGAAAATACATGTTTGTACTGTAACCAGATCACTACAGGAAAAACTACTCAAACTACAGACAAAAATAATGAACTATCCATAAGGAATAAGTTCAATTTAAGGCTTCATATTCACAACATTTAATGGCTGAAAACTAAACAGCAACAACAAAGGAAAATGTATTTAAATAAATGCTTTCATGTGAATGGAAAAGGTTCACCCAGCAAACCCTCAGCAATATTGACCATAAAGACAGTATTATACACCAGTCTGATATTTAAGAGGATTCTGTCTGCCTTGTTAGGCTTCAAACAGCTCACAGAAGGTTGATTACATTTATGCTGCTTCTTAATAGAAGCAAAGTTCATAGCTTTGCATATGATGGCATCTTGTCAGGCTATAAGCAATCTTGAAACATAATTTGCATTTATCACCTCTACTTTTTGCTCCTGGCAGCATAAGAAAGCCTGCTTTCTCAAATGCACAGATGTGCTCAGTGTGCACTTTCCAAATTATGTATAGGAAAATGCTTGCTCTCTATAATGTGTCATTAAGAAGAGCTCAGGACTTTCTTAATAAAATCTAGAGGGCAATGATATTTTCTAAGTCTTGAAAGTCTACTTGAAAGCTATTAAATAAATTCTATCTTAATTATTATAATTAATTTTAAGTACATTTTATTTTGAACAATTAAAAGAATATCTTTAAGCAAATTCATAACGTACAGAGTTCAGCCTTGCTAATATGGAGACTTAATAAAAAAAAAAAAAAACTAATCAAAGCCTCTGGCCAGAAATAAAATTGTAAATGATTTTGGGCTTTTTAAAAATGTATGTAAAATTTCTTACAAAACCATAACTGTTCTTTCCTTAAAAATATATTCCCTAGTAGAATACTGAACTAGAAAACAGATCATTAATCAAACCACATTTTAAAAATGATTTTTTAGTATAAAACACTTTCCCACAGATCCAAGGAGATCAGAAAATTATGACGTCAGACCCAAAAACAGAATGCTAGGGACCCAGAATAAAAAGCATACAATGTAAGAGACTAATCACCTAATAAAAGAACCATAAGCTCACAATAAAGTAAGAGAGAATAGCTATACAAAAAACTTTAAAAATAAACACAGGGAATACAGTTAAAGAATCAAAATGAAAAGTGGGTACATTTTCATAAAAGCACATAAAAATCTTGTGAATATCGTAACTACTCATAAATATTGTATAAACCTTCAGATTTTGGTTACCTCTCTTGGGAGGTTTAAGGTATTGTTTTTTAATCTTAAATTCTTCACAAAGAAATTTACCTCCCTCTGAAATAGTAAGTCAAGTAGCACTTGAAGTTTTTTCCTTCATGGAAACAGTTGCTGGAATAGAAAACTACCAAAAGTTTTAATCAACTAATTTAATCTTTCATGGTTTAATATAGATTTTAAATTTAAACCTTTTCTTTCTACAGAAATCAATTATTGGTAATACATTGTTATTTTCCCTTAGCAAATCAAAGAAACATTTAATCACATATTATAATACTAAAGAAAACATGATATAATTTTAAATATTTATACCCTAACTTAGGACAATCGACCTCTATCTCCACTTGAAAAAAGCATGAGAAAAGGACGTTTCTACTAGTTTACTCTCAAAAAGGGGAAAGGTGGCTCTAGAGACCAACTCAGAAATTACAGTTGTCCATCGTCAGCTAGAATGTAACTCAGGAACTGTTGTTTCTTCTAATTCCTGTATTTTGTCACACTTATTGCTTTCTTTGCCCTCTTGATATGTACGAAGCTGCTCCACAAAACCAGCATTTGGACATATGGAAGGTCTTGCATTTTTCACCAAAGAAAAAGCACTAGTAAATGAGATTTCTTCAGAATTCATTAGGAAGCCTATTATAATTGCAGCAGCCCTGGAAACTCCTGCATTACAATGAACAAGAACCACACCATCCTATAATAAAACCAAACAAAAATCTTCATTATTCATTTAAGAGAGACTATAATATAATCTTATACTACTTAAAATTATAAAATAAAAATATTCACTTTATCGATTTATTTGATTCAATCTATTCAATCATCAAAATACAATTCACTGTAGGGAATGAATGGGAAAAATCAATCAATTAACCAACACCTTCTCTTCCCACCTCCCAGAATTGAAATGCTTTGATGATATATTTGGAATTCTGAAACTATCTTTTATTAAACTGAAGTAATCTAGTAAAGTACACATAAAAGCCTAGTAACTTAGTAGCCACAAGTCTATAAATAAGAGAAAAATCACAGGAAATGTATGTGGAAATATAAATAAAACCATAATCATAAACTAAACAGAAAGCTCGAGACATTCTAGGTACACATAGCACTCCCATGAGGAAACTAGTATCACTGGTTTAGAAATCTATGTGTAAAATGATCAGTAAAGAAAAAATTTTCTTCCCTTGGATATATTTTATTCTAGAGGGAAGTGACTTAAAAAATAGTTAAACTTATGAGGTAGTAAAATGATGACACAAATAGCTCACGACAATGTGAAGTGGAAAAGGTAATTAGACACCAGCATGAGGTCAATAAATGAAAAACGTTTCAGGTAACTTGCAAATGATACTTCACAAGTGAAAAGGGACACAGTGCAAGGCCAATGCTGATGGGGGGTAATATTGCATTAATAATGAATGTGATAGATCTGATGGATCAGCATTGATACAGGTTAGCTTATCTCAGGCCTTTAAAAAGTTAATGATCTAAATGAAATGTAGAGAACAGTGAGCACACCCAACAGAACCAGACATTTTAATTACTTCATGTCTTGATTCTTCTTTTCTTACAACACAAGAAAGATGGGAACAGGGAAAGGGGGAAAAAATCTTACAACTGAAAATTCTCTGCCCAAAATACACATTAACAATGCTATGTTTATGGCTTATTGGAGTGCTTTACTTTTACAAGGCAGTTTTCTTAGATGCATAAATCTATTGCAGAATTCCTTTCCTAGGTCTTTTGTAACAAATTTGCAAGTGTAACTCATTTCAAGAAACACAGATGATTCACAAGAAAATTAGTTAATATTTTAAATCCTCATATCAAAAAGACAATTTCAATTGTTTTTTTTTCTTTTTTCCTTTTTTAAAAAAATTTTTATTGGAGTATAATTGCTTTACAATGTTGTGTTAGTTTCTACTGCACAGCAAAGTGAATCAGCTATATGTGTACATATATCCCCTCTTTTTTGGATTTCCTTCCCATTTAGGTTACCACAGAGCACTGAGTAGAGTTCCCTGTGCTATACGGTAGGTTCTCATTAGTTATCTATTTTACACATAGTATCAATAGTGTATATATGTCAATACCAATCTCCCAATTCATCCCACCCCCGCTCCCCCCTTGGTATCCATACGTTTGTTCTCTACGTCTGTCTTGTCTATTTATATTTATATATTTCAGAGTCATTTCCAGATATTAACTTTCTGTACAAGAAAAGCGAAAGGCAAATATTCACTCTACATATACAGAATTTTTCTCACCTTGTATAATGGCTTTTTTATGAGACTTAAGACATTTTAAAATCATATTACAGTAACCAATGAAAACTATTAAAGAACTTCTTTTAACTCAAAACAAATTAGATATTCCAAAGAAACTTGGAATCATAAGCTTAATAAGAGGTGCCCTTATGTCATTTTTAATGTTTCCTGACTGTATACTAGTTATCTCTATGTTATGATGCATACATACGCTTTTTAAAATGAAACTAGCTTTATTTTCAATCTTATACACGGTGCAATCAGCTTTAGCTAATGTTTAAAAATGTTAGTATTTTCTCCCTCTTACATTCTTTATATAAACAGCTACTTTTCTGTCAGTTTCTACAGCCTTTGAATTTACCTATTTACCTTTTATTATTCCTTGGGTATCATATTGCCCTTGAAAGTATTTCCAAACAAACTACTAGCTTCATATCCCCTTTCTAGAACTCAAAGTAGTGACAATTAAATCATTTATAAAGAATTTTTTTTCTTTTGCACTTGCTGTTGTCCTCTGCTTGAAAGCCCTTTGCTCCTCTCTTGGTCCAGCTAACTTTGGCTTCTGTTCTAAGAAGGCTGTCTCTCTCTGCGTGAGAGGCGGGCAGGAGGAATATCCAAGCCATCTTTGTATGCCTAATACTTAGTACAATTTTGGGCACAGAGTAGGTATTCCATAAATGTTTGCTAAGCAAACAAATTAATTTTGTTCTGCATTTCTGAGAAAACATTCTCTTAAAAGAATCAAATCATCATTCTGCTATGGGCAGATAGATAGGAATTATGTTATAGTATTTCTATTTTACGCAGCTTGCTTTGTTCTCGTGTTGTTATGAATAGCCTTTCAATTAGATTGCCAGCTCCTTAAGGGCAGCAATATACATCCCTTGTATCTTCTCAGAGTAAGTAATTCATATTTTTTGACAGATGAACTTAGTCAAGTTCAGGTCTTCTGATATATAGCAAAATATATTAAAATACTCACAGTGGTTATATCTATATGGTGGAAGTGGGTGACCTTAATTTTTACCTATCTATATTTTCCAATTTTTCTACAATGTTATAAATTACATGTTTTTAAAATCACATCTTATAAATAATAAAGTAAACGTGGAATATCAAATACACATTTTCATACTAACAAACAAAATCTTTTGCACATAAAAAAAAGGGGGTCAAGTAAATATTCCTAAAAGAACTCTTGAGGCTATGGAGGTTACTTTACTGCTTCCCTCTCATGTGTATTTCTGTCCCTTTGGGCATAAACCTGACAAATAATGCATTAGGCAGAGATAGAAGAAGGACAGAGAAACCAAACAAACAGGGTTTGATAAGTACAGAGAGAAATGAGGAAAGACATGGGAAAAATGGAAGACATTCCATCTGGCAGCTGGATGTAAAAAGATGAAAACAACAAACTAGGACCTAGAAAGGTAGTTTTGAAATATGCAATTCACTGAGTCATCACATTTAATAATACGTGCATATACAATAGGCAAAATCAGGAAGAGATCTCTTCTAGAAAAAAATGAAGAAAATTCAAGACTTCTATTGCTAAAACTAAATATGTATTAATCTAAACAATAAAGAGTTTTCAGGGTAAGGAAATACTGGCTGAGGCTAAGATTTCAGTAAAAAACGTAAGGCTTGAGAAATCAGAACATATTACAGAATTCAAATACATCTTGTAGCAGAAACATTTTCTGCATCTCTTCGGATTCCTTTGATGCCATCATCTCACCCTCAGCTTGCTCCACCTCAACTACAACCTCTATGGCTGACTGCCTATTGTGCCTTTAAGCCTATTAAGTTTTGCTTGCCTAAGAATACCTGACTCTTCCCCGATGGCAGGCTCTGCATAGGTACACCCTGAGTTCTGGATTCTCTTGCTTCTTCTGAAATTGGATGGCAAGTCACACCACAGGGCATTGGGTTTGGCTTCAAGGTGGCCGCTGAAGGGGTGGGGTGCTACAACCTGGAATTGCGAGGTTAGTTACCTCTCCATGGGTAAACTCTGACCAATGGGAAACAGAAGCTGACAGATGGCCAGGCAGATAAATTCCCTCTCTTCCCTCCCTCCCAAAATCTGTACTGAGGTGCAGTTTCTTTGGACTCCCTGCCTGGGGATGTCTTGGGTACCACCCTACCAAGTACCCATCTATTTTGCTGTCAGCTCATTGTGAAGTTGTGTTCAGCAAGGTAAACACATCATCTTACACTGCTTCTCATCCTTACCTGAGTCACTTCCTTTTCTTCTCACTCTCACTGCCTAGGGATTGCACCTCTCAAATGAAGCATCAGCTCTTAATCCTTGGCTCAGGTTCTGTTTTTTGGGAAACCCAAACTAAGGACCATTTTTATTAACTATTACCCATTTCACTTTTTACTTGTAACATGTGCATATCTTCTAATATGAATATGGATGATGTCTACATTTTTCCTTTACCATCTAACATACATTCTACATCTCCTTAGGAAAGCAGCTAATACAGAAACATTGTCACTTTTATTTCTAACACTGTTAGCTGGCACACTGGAATGTGACAATCTAGAGTCTGTAAAATTTTTCACAAGAGAACAGACTGGCCAATACTAGGCTCTGAATTAGAAAACCTCCACCTTTTCTTTCATCCAAATATCTGCTATTAAGTAAGGTAGAATAGTGTTACATTTTTCCGGTAATCTAGAGAACGGTATCGAGAAGCGTGCCGGGCACCTAAGGCACTCAATAAATATTACTAAATGCAAGGAAGGAAGAGAGAGAGGGAAAG